CACTTGCAGAAACCCACATTTTAATTTATATCCTGCTTTTCACATAGTTCCCCCCCCTTTATCCCCACAACCCTGTGAGGGTGGGTTCTGCTGAGAGATTGTGATGGGCCCAGTGTCACTTGGCAGGCTTCCACGGTCAAGCGAGGTCCCAGATCCTAGTTCTGCATTGTATCTACTACACGACCACACCTCCTGTACAGAACTGCACACACATGAAAACCATGCCACACCACACATTGTCAACTATACTTAAAAATCATGAATGGGACTAGCAATCTGAATAGGTGCACATGCTGTTCGACAGGCACCCAGCGAACTCCAACAAATGATTCAGCGATTAATTCAATTGATAAATCAGAGGCATATTTGCAATCGGTGATTATAAGGCAATCTGCACTCACTACAGTCCAAGCACTCCTATTCCAAAACAAAAGTCGGAGACTATGCCATACTCTTTAAAACAATCCGCATAGTTTCTCCAGAATATCAGACCGTTTAAAAAGGGGAGAGTCTGATCTTAGGGCTACATGTTTCTCCTGCGTTGATTGCCAATCTGTCCGGTCTATTCAAGACTGCCTTCAATTCAACGGACGTGTAGTGTAGCCTTAAGAAATCAGTTTCTTCACTCTTCCCCTTAACATCCACTATGGTAAAGACTTCTGCAGAAGACAAACACATACAATCTTGCAAGCTTTCAGGCAGTATTAATAAAAGTGGCCTTTGTTGTTTAAAATACTTAGACAAACTTACTCCATCACTTGTAGAAATCAGCTGTGATTCAGTTTAAATAAAAGCAACATTTTGAAATTGCATGACAAGGAAATTTCGGAAGACTATGGTTTGTGTCTGAAACAGTGCTTTGACTCAATTTCAGCCAGAATTTCCATATAAAACTGCCTTTAGTTTTGAGCGCTGAGGTGTATTTGGTTGTGCACCTTATTTCTAACTCAGAATCAGGTTATCACAGGTAGGTGTTCTGCTGAAAAAGTTATTGTTATACTCCAACACCCCAGGCTGCTGTCACATGAACCATACATTAATATCTAATACGATGAATTACTCTTTATATGAAGTCGTTCCTCAGGATGGATTTCAATGGAACTTCTTTTTAGACGGAAAATAGGACAATGTGTCTTGAGCACACTGAACCTAGCGGGAATAGGAAACAGTGGTGTACATTTTGTAATTTAAACATCATGCACAACGTTTAACTGGGATTAAATAGTGCAGCTGCTGCAGCAGTCCTCCTTCACTGTAAAAATCAATAGCTGTTTGTACAAGAAGTTTACATGAACACTTGGTTCCAGTGTCAAATTTTTGTCTTCAGCAGCTGGGTAATATTGAAATAAATGAACTGTGCTGCAAGAAATAAACCAGCTGCTGCTATCTCTAGTAAAAGCTAGGTCTGTAATTTCAAAGGAATTCTTAACAGGAACTGAATGATACTGGCCACTTCTATCCCTTCACACTGGCTAAGGACTGATGAAGGTGGACTACTAAATTCGGGGGGGGGGGGGGGTAGCTAGCCCGGTCTTGGAAGCTGAGCAGGGTCAGGGCTTTAAGAAACAAAGTGGCCCCTGGTATCTGAGGAGCCTAGTGTATGTTAACTGGCATGTAGCATGCACAGGAGCAAAAAGTCAGTTCATCAGCTCAGTCCTTGCCATAACCCTAAATAACATGCCTCTCACTCCCTCAGTGCAATGACACCACCACTGCTGCTACTCATAAGGCAGAGGACTACGGGTAGCTGTTCCTTTCCCTCCATTCCCACCACTGCTTTAAATCCCTGCATAGCTTTCTTGTCAGGCTCATGCCAACTGGATTAAGGATTAAGACGGAAAAGGGGGGTTGGGGAGAGTAAAGGTCATGTGTACAATTTTGCCAGCACCATATGATTTCCCCTGGAACGGGAAAGGTTTTAAGACTACCCTGCTTCACTGACTGCCAGTCAATTTAAGAAGGAAAAGGACAAATGGTTTACAGAGACTGTTTTATTTGCAAAGCTTCGTGAAGTCTTAGCACCTAGGGGGGAAAAAAACAAATTTACAGTAAATACTAGGTAGTTTATCAAACATGTTCTATTAGCCAATATTTTTTATGATTTCTGTGTATTTGGTAAGTATAGAGATGAAATTAACTAAAATTGACTCAGAATATCTCAAACCGGCTGTATTACAAAGACTTGAATGCTTTAACTTGTCTATTTGCAGAGTAACATTTTTACCCCCGGTATAACTGAAGGAATTTTCATACAGGTTTGTGAGCATCCACTGGAGAAGAAGCTAACTCCCAGTGGTTCTCTTCCCTCCCCTTTAGGCTACAGTCATTGAAATGAGTGGGTAATCTGACTAGCAACAATTTCCAGACTACCACCTTTGAAGGCCTTATTTGCAGAACTATTGAATTCAAGTCAGCCTAAATAACTTGCTTCTATACAGTAAGCACCTAAGTAAAAAATACATTAATATGAAGCAGGCCAAGAAAGCCTCAGCTTCCTGCTTAACCTGAAGAAAAAAATGGAAGTAGAGAATGTTCAACCTTACAAAACAGAGGTGTAATACTGGGCTTGAACCATAGCACGTCCTTTAATATATCCCATTTCCCCCTCAAAACATTCCAGGCAATTCCCCATTTGTGCAAGCTTAAACTGAGATGTGCTTAAATTAAACAAAGTAACAAAGAAATGGGCATTAACCCATCACATTTACACCACTAACTTCATTAATGATTTGGAGTTGGGAGTAAGCAGTGAAGTGGCTAAATTTGCGGATGATACGAAGTTGTTCAGGGTGGTGAAAACCAGTGAGGATTGTGAGGCACTCCAAGGGGATCTGTCAAGGATGGGCGAGTGGGCGTCAACATGGCAAATGGGGTTCAATGTGGCCAAGTGCAAGGTGATGCACATTGGAGCCAAAAATCCTAAATATAAATACACATTGATGGGGTCTGAACTGGCAGAGACTGAGCAAGAGAGAGATCTTGGAGTTGTAGTAGATAACTCACTGAAAATGTCGAGACAGTGTGTGACTGCAATAAAAAAAGCCAATGTTATGCTGGGGATTATTAGGAAGGGTATTGAAAACAGATCAGCCAATATAATAATGCCCCTATATAAATCAATGGTGAGACCTCATTTGGAATACTGTGTGCAATTCTGGTCACCACACCTTAAAAAGGATATTATAGCTTTGGAAAAAGTGCAGAAAAGGGCAACTCGAATGATAAAAGGGTTGGAACACTTTCCCTATGAGGAAAGGTTAAAGCGCTTAGGGCTCTTTAGCTTGGAGAAAAGACGACTGAGGGGTGACATGATCGAGGTTTATAAGATTATGCATGGGAAAGAGCAGGTAAAGAAAGAGGTACTTTTCTCCCTTTCTCACAATACAAGAACCCGTGGGCACTCCATGAAATTGCTGAGCGGTCGGGTTAGAACGGATAAAAGGAAGTACTTCTTCACCCAAAGAGTGATTAACACATGGAATTCACTGCCACAGGAAGTGGTGGGTGCTACAAGCATGGACGGCTTCAAAAGGGAATTAGATAAGCATATGGAGCAGAGGTCCATCAGTGGCTATTAGCCACAAGGTATAGCTAGGGGCTCTGGGGCAAGTGATGCTCTGTCTTCTTGGTGCTTGGGGGGGGGGTCAACAGTGGGAGGGCTTCTAATGTCCTGGCCCCACTGCTGGACCTCCTGATGGCACTGGTATTTCTGGCCACTGTGTGACACAGAGTGTTGGACTGGATGGGCCTTTGGCCTGATCCAACATTGGCGTCTCTTATGTTCTTATGAAAGCAAGAAATTGCAAGTAGATAAATAGGTACCACTTCGGTGGGAAGGTAACAGCATTCCGTGC